AAAAGTAATAGTAATTTTAAAAACTATAGGCTATTTAAGTCCATTCTAGGTAAGTGAGAAATAATCATTATCATCATGATAGCAGCAAAGACTTATTATTTTCTAAAACAGCATTCTAATTTCTAGGCACTGTATTGTTAGCTTTGAAAGTAGACTGATCTTATTTACAAAAACCTCCATTATGAAGTGGGTTTAACCGGTCATTAATTTTTCCTTTCACCAAGTCTCCCAATTTGTACTGATTTCATGTTCATTAAGGAAATTTTGCATTATGTTTTAGTCTCAAATATAGTTCTACCTGACAGTGAAACTAACAGTGATGGTCTCAAGCAATTCAAGTTTTTTATTTCATGAGATAAGGATGTCTCAGAAGAAATATAGAAAAAGCTCTGATGAGGATGTGGCTTGTCTAAGAATGTCCACAGGGAATAAATGTGTTTATTAGTCTGGCCAATGAAATAAAATACTCTCATACTTTATTAACTTTTGGCACTCTGCTGTCTACTTGAGTTACAAGTATTACATATATGAAAGGTTTTTAATAAATTCACAGAACATGTATATTATGAAAAAGCTAATTTTTAAAAATTTTCTTGCACTAAAATAACTCATACTAACCTGTTATGCCATATCTGAACAGGATCTATTGGGTCATCAGAAAAGTCATGACATGTTTTTCTATGCAAAAAATGTGTCATAACTTTCCTGACAACCCAATACTTTGAGGTACTAAGATGCATAATACATCAGTTTGAAAAGAGTCCTTACAGAGCAACATGAATTCTGCTACAGCAGAAGCAAGGACAAACATCAAATTTTGGCTAAACTTTGGGTACAAGAATGGTGAAATTGTTGACTTAGAAAAGTTTATGGGAGACAATGCCCCAAATAAATCAGCAGTTGACAAATGGATCATTCTTTTTGAAAAGAAACAAGACAATATTGACTGTGACAATGCAGTGGCAGACCATCCACACTAATATGTGAGAACTAATCTGGCGTGCGCCATAATTGAAGCCATAATTGACGAGTATCAATGAGTAATAGCAGAAACAATGCCCAACATCATACTCATCTCATTTAGCTCAGCTTACACAATTCTGTCTGAAAATGTAAAGTCGATCAAAACTTCTGTTCAATGGGTACCAAGACAGCTGCACCCAGATCAGCTGCAGACAAGAGCAGGGCCTCTGATGGAAATTTTAAACAAGTGGGATCAATATCCTAAAGCATTTCTTACAAGAATTGTAACAGGAGATTAAAGATGACTTGACCAGTACAGACCTGAAGACAAAGCAGGATTTGATCAATGTTAATCAAGAGAGAGGTGAAAGTTGACCAGTCAAAGTAAAAGGACCAATTAAAAGCAAAGAGCTTGACAACAGTACTTTGGGGATGTTCAAAGCATCATTAAGCCTCATGGTATTGATTTCTTACAGTCTTCTTCTCGAAAGTTTGGTGTCTTTGTTCTAACTTTCAAAATGAGTGCTAAATGTTACTCAGAGGTCACCCATATGTAATAGGATTAAAATGTGAAGGCCTAATTTCACAATTTGTACTCTATTACTAACCTATGCTCTTTTAATGGAATATTCAAAAGTTCTGGCGTCTTTCTACCTAAATCCACTAACTCAAACCCTACTTATATACAACACATACTTTCATTGATTGTAATTTCCATTGTTCTAGGTGCTTTATATAATTCAGTTCTCACAACAATCCTATAATACAAGTTTTATTAGCTCATAATATAAGTTTTATTAGCTCTTATGGGCAAATGGTGAAACCAAGGTTAGAAGAGATTAAATTATTGGGAACCAGCAGTTAGCGTAATGGCTATGTCGCTGGACTCCCACATAGTCGACCGCGGTTCACGTCCCGGACCCAGTGGCTTAAAACTCACGCCGGGCGCGTGTGCGTGCGTGCCCAAGATCCCAGGAGGAGAATGGAAGAGAAGGGATTGCGGCATGACCATCCCCCCTGGGGGGGTGATTTCTTGCTTTCTGTCTCTATGTCTCTCTCTGTCTGTCTGGCGAGTGCACGCGCCGTACAGTGAAAATCTCTCCCCCCCCAAAAAAAAGAAGAGATTAAATTATTTGCCCAAGTTCATGTTTCCGTATGATGTTACATAAAATCAAGTCTCTATTCACAATGATACATTTGTCTCAAGACCTGAAAATTGATTTTTTTATTTGTATCATCATATTAACATAAAGTGCATTAAATCCTTTATATTCCTATGAAATTATACCTTTGCTTTACCTTATTCTCTTTGACTTTCATAAATATTGTCTCCATAAAGAAGGGCAACATGATTTGCTTGTATAAAATGTCCATGCAATAAAAGGCATCTCGTGCCTACTCTATAACTGAAAATATAGCAGTAAAAACTAAATTTTCTAACTTTATGGAGATTATGTTCGGATTGGAAATTGATATATAATAATGTAGATAATTCTTTGAAGAAAAAGTAGACCAAAGGGTAGAAATTGAAGAAGGTACTGTCTCTTTTAGATAATGCAGTCAGAGAAAGCTGTCTCAATAAGTGACATTAAAGCAGTCAAGAGTTAGGCATAATTGGGAACCAGCAGTTAGCGTAATGGCTATGTCACTGGACTCCCACATAGTTGACTGTGGTTCGCGTCCCGGACCCGGTGGCTTAAAACTCATGCTGGGCGTGTGTGTGTGCGTGCCCAAGATCCAGAGAGGAGAATGGAGGAGAAGGGATTGCAGCGTGACCATCCCCCCTGGGGGGTGATTTCTCGCTTTCTGTCTCTAATGTCTCTCTCTGTCTGTCTGGCGAGTGCACATGCCCTATAGCGAAAATCTCTCCAAAAAAAAAAAAAAAAAAAGAGTTAGGCATAATTTAAGTTTTCAGGAAAAATCAGCTAGTATTTTGATCAAGGTTAAGCATATATATAAACTACTTCTGTACAAGTCAACAAGACACTGAATGATTGACCTTACAGTTATGAATGTTGATAATCACCTTCCCTATAAAACATTTTATGCGATGCCAAAAGGTTAAATTTTGTGCAAAACTCCAAAGTACTTGTTACAAAGCAAATACACTTTTCTTATAGAAAAATCACTTAGGCTTTAATTGGTGCTTATTGTATTTTATTTGATATACAATTACTAAAAGTTTAGCTCTCTATTTGAAGCTCCTTCTGATCATTTAAATATGGGGATATTTTGCTAGACAGAGGCAAATTGACAGTGGCATTTGACATCTGTCAACCTGAAATCATTAGAAGACATGGAAGAACAAACAAATGCTAAATATAAAAAGTATAAAATGATGGCATGCTTAGAATAGTTAAGGGTAAAATGGTGCAGGTACTTTAACAATCTTGGAAGCATTGGACTATTAGTGTTCAGTAGCTTAATAAATAATCACAACTAGATCTGTGTCAACAAGAGCTTATTCAGCTATGTGCAGTGTACACTGTTAAGAAGGCAGATGGGTATGCCATATATTTTAGATAATTACAAATAGGACCATTCTCATAACTAAGTGGTTAAAAGAGCTATATCCTACATAGCCAAAGTAGTTCAAGTCCCAGTCCCAGTGCCTTGAAAAACACACCCGTATATATGCACATATGTCCTTAATCCCAACAGGATGGAGAAATGGAGAAATTGACCATACCCAGTGGAGGATGGTTTCTTACTCTCCCTCTCTCATTCTTAAGCACATATGCCTTCTAGAAATACAAATGAAAAAAAAAAATCAGCCTTAACTTTTTTTTTTTTTTTTTAAGGATTTTTGCTATAGGGCACATGAACTCACTGGAGAGAGAAATAGATACAGACAGGAAGTGAGAAAACACCCCCCCTGGTGGGGGGGGGATGGCCACGCTACAATCCCTTCTCCTCCATTCACCTCTCGGAAGTTTAGGCATGGACACACCTGGCATGAGTTTTAAGCCACTGGGTCTGGGTCTCAAACTGCAGTCGACTATGTGGGAAATACAGCAATGTAACAATTATGTCATCCACTGGTCCCTTAACTTAGATTTTTAAAAAAACTTTAGTTTATTTTATTCTATTTATTTTTTTAAAATTTCATAGGGCACATCCACTTGCCAGAGAGAGACAGAGGGGTGGGGGGAGATGGCCACACTGCAGCCCCTTTTCCCCAGGTATCTGGGCACACACAGACATGAACCGAGTGTGATTTTCAAGTTACTGGGTCCAGGACTCAAACTATGCAGCTGGGCATATGAGATCTAGTGCCTTAATTTCTATGCCACCTGCTGGTCCAGTCTTAACTTAGTTTTATTTTTATTTTTTATATAAGATAAATTTTTGCTTATAGGGGGCATATGCTAACCAGGGACACAGAGAGAGAAAAAGTGAGAAATGAGCCCCCAGAAGGGATGGCATCCCCCAATTCCCTCTCCTCCATCGCCCTACCAGAATTTTGGGGATGCATGTACACTTACCCAGCATGAGTTTCAAGTCACTGGGTCTAAGACTTGAACTGTGGTCAGCCATGTGGGGAGTCCAGCACCTTGACCAGCATGCCACCTTCTGGCTCCACTTAGTTTTAAAAGAATAAGTTCTAGCTATCTAGATACACCATTTTGAGATATAACATATATCCTGAACTATCTGGATTCCTTTTTGAATAATTTGAGGGTCACAAAATTAAGAGATGAATACACATCATGAATGCTATGATTTCATACATGCACCATTTTGAAAGGTTTTTGATGCATCAAACTGAAGCATTCTGAATGGTAAGAGCTCACATACAATTTTAATTCTTACTCGAAAATAGTCTCAGAATCTTCACAGATTTCCAACAAAGCTACATATTTTGGGGAAAGAATAAGCTAAATTATTATTAAGATACCTTAAAATAAATGTAGTCTGTACATCGTATGATTAAAATAACCAACCATATTAAAATTATAGAAGGATCGAAATAAATACAGAAGTACACACACACAAAAAACAAACAAACAAAAAAACAAAAAAATGAAAAACATTACTCTGTCAGGTCTTCTATCTTCTTTTCCACTAGAGTAGGGGGCACATTAGAGACAATGACTTGCATATCCAGTTGATTGACCACAGAGACCTGAAAGAAAGAAAAGACAGAACTCAGTTTTTACTCACTAAAATTTCTATGCCTACTATTCATGGACACAATGGTTTCTCATTTCTAAATTCAGAATCATCATTTTTTTAATGATATAATCTCCACCAGATGTTGGAGATAAACAGAGAAGTTTGAAAATGATAAACAATTTGCTGGTTACCTAGAAGTGAAGTATCCTAAGTGATTTCAGCTACTGTTGTTTTGTGTTTGCCTGATTTCTTGGTTATTTTTAATTTAATTAATTAATTTATTTATTTTTAAGTTTGTTTTGCTTTTTTTATTTTTGGAGAGGTTTTTGCTATAGGGCACGTGTGCTCGCCAGACAGACAGAGACAGAGAGACAGAGAGCAAGAATTCGCCCCCCAGGGGGGATGGCCACACCGCAATCCCTTCTCTTCCATTCTCCTCTCAGGATCTTGGGCATGCATGCACACGTGCCCAGTGTAAGTTTTAAGCCACTGGGGCTGGGATGCGAGCCGCAGTCGGCTACATGGGAGTCCAGCGACATAGCCATTATGCTAACTGCTGGTCCCTTGTTTTGCTTTTTGGTTCCTGTTTTTTATTTTTTGCCATACGGCATGTGCAATCGCCAGAGAGAGACAGACAGAGACACAGAGAGGGAAAGTGAGAAATCACCCCCATAAGGGATGGTCATGCTGCTATCCCTCCTCCTCCATTCTCCTCTTGGGATTTTGGGCACACATGCACACATGCTCAGCGTGATTTTCAAGCTGCCAGGACTGGGATTTGAACTGTGGCCAGCCATGTGGGAGTCCAGCAGCTTATCTGCCATGCTAAATGCTGGCCCTGATTTCATGGTTATTTACTGAGATACTGAAGGTGACATTTTTGTTTTAAAACAAAACAAAACATTATAAGATGCCTTTTGGATTTTACATATTTTGAGAAATCATTTATTTGCTGTGACTGAGAATCGGAGATCTGGCAGCTTGGAATTATCTAGTCTGTGAGATCTCTATACAGTCTCCATGTTACTTTAGCCAGCACTGCAATTGTGTAAATGGAGAGGAACATACAGAGAAATTTACATAGGGGTCTAAAATGAGCTCATTTCTTCAAATTGAGTGTCTTTCTTCATAAATACATTTTGGATGATTTTAAAGGTGTATCTTAAAATTTTCACATAATAGTTATGAAGTTCAAATAAAATACCCACAAATGCCACATTGCATATATACCTAATACATATACACATAGTCTCTTTAGTTATATGTTCTTTGCATTGACTTTTATAATATTTTTATTTTACTTAGTCTAATGATATTATTTAGCTTTTAAGCATCACAATGTATATATCTGAAATAACAATAAGGAAAATTATAATCTGATTTTGCATAAGGTTTATAGATCCAAATTTAATCAATAATCTATGGCACTCTTAATGTCTTTGATGTCCAAGCTTCTTGGCTTGGTCTGACTGTGTTTATTGTAAATTTGCCGTTACAAACACAAATTGCTGGAGGACATTCTGCCCTTCTATCCACTACAATACAGTAATTGGTCCTCCCCCTTATTAAAGAAGAAAAATATTATTCATTGATGTCTATATGTTCATGAAGCTTAAATTTGTCCAGTGAACTAAACTGTGAAAGATGATGAGGTATTTAGACATTAAACAAAAAAAGGCAACCTATACTGGGGTATGTCTTTATGTGACAAGTATTTCCAAGAATAATTCCACTTAAAATTTTTACTAGATGTATCAAAGTCCAAAGTCCAAATAGCTTACACTTCCAAGTTGGTAGAAATGTCACAGGATATATGCATTGGTGTTGAGTATTTTGGGTAAAAGTTCATATCAAAGGGCCTTGGAAAAGATCTATCACTAAATCTGTGCCCAGTCTAAAAGAAAGTCAGAATAGAAAAGTGAAATTACTGACTATAGACAAGTATTGGGTTGTCAGAAAAATCATGATGCATTTTTTTGCATAGAAAAACATAGAAGGAATACATTATGACTTTTCTGACAATCCAATCTATCCTCCTAAAGGACCACTTATACCATTAATGAAGATTTTGATAAAACAAGGAAATCATATCTATTCGAAAATATATTTTTGCCATATTTTCTTTAGTTTTCTCTATTACAAAAGGCTAAAAATAATTTAAACTATAATAATAATTTTGTATATTTGAATTTGTTACCTCAGCCAACTCTGTATTAAAAGACAAATCTCGGGACCAGCAGGTGGCATGGCAGTTAAAGGTGCTGGACTCTTACAAGCTGACTGCAGTTCGAGTCTTGGACCCGGTGGCTTGCTTTCTCTTTCTCTGTCTCTCTCTCTAGTCAAATTAAAAACATCAAAATTAAATAAAGAATTATTTAAAAAGAGACAAAATCTCCAAACCAAATAGAGATCCAATGTTTATATTGCTATCACAATCACACACAATCATGCATATAAAACATTGCTGTATTTCCCAAACATAAAAATTCTAGCAACCGTAAGTCAATTCCATGTATTACACACATACGTACATCTATATTAACTTCTTAAGTCATATCCATTAACATTCTGTATGAAAAATAATGATATTTATGTTTTTCCAAAATCTGTTTTCATAATCATAATAGCTCTTTGAGTTGAAAACACTGGCCGCTGGCTGGAATTGTAGGAACCTCCTTTATCTGAAGGTTTATCTACTTACAAGTACATCTGCTTTGCCGCTCAGTCCTTTCCCATAGTCATCAGTTGCGATAACTTGAAACTTGAAGTAGGATCTCCTCATATTATGGAAGAGCATAGCAGTTTTGATAAGCCCTGTGTATGTTTCCACCACAAAGCCTTCCTTTCCCTCTTTAATGGGCGGGATTATGAGTCTGTATGCCATGGCACTATAATTACCAGTATCTTTATCAGTAGCCTAAGAGAGGAAAAAATAAAGATTATAAACAAACAGGAAAAGGAATAACCTTTATTAAAAGGCATATATCTGTAAGAGTGATGTTTCTTGTGACAAAGCAACAACATCAAGCCCTCCTAAAGTCTATCTTTTCTGGATATCATGATGTAGATGTACAGACTTGGTGTCCACATTGTTAAATAGCTGTCACTAAAGATGTCTACTGAATTGTGAATTCCAAGTACATCAACTCTAACAGAGTTGATTGGATAAAATTTTTGGCTGAAATGTCTTATGGCTTCAACTTTTGGGTTTGGTTGAATGATAGAGTTGGTTGTTTACCTAACAGTATTTTGGCATAATAGGTACTTCAATTGTGGTTTTGATTAGTATATAGTTTAAAGGGGATAAACTTAAGACTACAATGATCTCAAATGACATAAGAACAATCAAAGTTCAGAGCTTTTAGCAAATAAATTAAAAAATACATGAAGAGATCCTAATTAATGCCATACCATAGAGAAGATTAGAATACTAATTCAACTTCCTACTTCATTATCCTGTATCCTGATTAACTACATTTGTACCTGGTGGTAGGTACTTATAATCTATGGGTTATAGCTTATTACCATTTAGAATTAAAAAGTAGTAACTTGTTACTTCAAGTTTATTTTGGTATGATTTTACATAAGCTATAATCAGAATATATGACTGGCATTATGACCTTCTACTTAAGGGAAATTTTTTCAGAATGCCAATCTTAGAATTATTGTATAGTGAAATATTTAAAGATGGTAGATGGGAAAATCTTAGAATTTACACAAGGCTATATGTATCATATTATGATACTAGACAAGTTATATATATATTTATAGTAAATATTATTGTCATTATCTAGTGATTCTTATTTTAGCAGTGCTTTTATTATTATTAAACATCATATATAAAGCATTTATAATTACCATTATGATGCTAAATTTTTTACAAAATATGATCTTATTTAAGAAAAAGAAAAAAACTGATAATAAATTATTTCAATTATTATTATATAAATATTTGCTATCCAATAAAACTTTCTGGGATGAAAAATAAATGCTCCAAATCTGGGGCTAGCAGGTGGCATGGCGGTTAGGGTGACTGAATTCCCACATGGCTGACTGCAGATTGAATTCTTGACCCGGTGGCTTAAAAATTGCTCTGGGCGGGAACCAGAAATTAGCGTAATGGCTATGTCTCTGGACTCCCACATAGTCGATCGCGGTTCATGTCCTGGACCCGGTGGCTTAAAACTCACGCCGGGCGCGTGTGCGTGCATGCCCAAGATCCCGAGAGGAGAATGGAGGAGAAGGGATTGCGGCGTGACCATCCCCCCTGGGGGGTGATTTCTCACTTTCTGTCTCTATGTCTCTCTCTGTCTGTCTGGTGAGCGCACGCACCCTACAGTGAAAATCTCTCCAAAAAAAAAAAAATTGCTCTGGGCGTGTGTGTGTGTGTGTGTGTGTGTGTGTGTGTATACTCAAGATACCAGGGAGAAAATGGAAGAGAAGGGATTGTGGTGTGGCCATACCCTGTGAGAGGGTGTAGTCTCTCACTTTCCCTCTCTCTGTCTGTCTCTCTCTGATGAGTGCACAAGATTTATGGTAAAAAAAAAAACAAGAACAAACAAACAAAAAAAAGCTTCCAAATCTACTCTGGCACTAATGCGGCTAAGAAACTAAAGTTTAGTCTGACTTCATTTAAATTAAATTTAAGTAACCAAAATCTGTCTATTAATGGTAAGGTTGGGATGCAAATGAGGACATTAGAAATAACAGTAAATGTGCACTAAGGTATGTATGTGCCTGACCTAGCCTCAGATTCTATACATATTCTGAATCATCTCAAACATTACTCGATAACCCTATTCATCAATTAGAAAATGAAGCATAAACTAAACAACCCATATCTCAAAGTGATATGGGCTCAGGATCAATTATTTTATGTATTTTCTAAAGAATTAAAATTCTCAGCTTTGGGAGCCAGAAGACAGTGTAGTGGTTACATCACTGGATGCCCATATGACCAACTGTGGTTTGAGTCTGACCTGGTGGCTTGAAAATCACTCCAGGTGTATGTGCATGTGTGCCCAAGACCCCTGGAGGAGAATAGATTGTGGTTTGGCCAACCCCTTTGGGGGTGGATTTCTCACTTTCCCTCTTGTTGTCACTGTCTCTGTCTCCCTGGAGAGCTCATATGCCCTATGACAAGAACCTCTTTAAAACATTCTCAGCTTTAGACAAAAGGAGATCAAATTATTAGTTCATTTCATTAGATGTTCTCTATTGGTTCCAGCATGGCAGAGCTCAGTTTTACCAGGTTTAATTCTCTCTCTCTCTCTCATTTTTTTTGCAAGCCTTGAATCACAAGGTTTATTTATTTAACAAAGGAAAGCATCAAAAATAAAAAGCATATTCCCAACTAAAATTAAGCTCAGAGTCTTAGTCAAGCAATCCATGACATTTCTTCTACACACTAGGAGCAAATTTAGGACTGATGCCAAATCAGTCAAAGATTCCATTGCGTATTGTCCCATGGCTTCTGATCAACATAGGCACTGCCCTGGAAAATATTTATTTTTTACTGTTAATGTAAATTTTATTGAGGTATAATAAGTAGACAAAAAATATGTACAACTCATGTATAGAGTTTGATACATTTTTGCAAAATGTACACCTCCCTGTGGGCAGCAGCTACATCAAAAAACAAAACAGCAGCATTTCAGAAGGTCCTTTATGACCTTACCGTCATAAACAACTTTCTCAGGGAAACACTGTCCTGATACAACATTGTTGATCAATTATCCCTATTATTAAATTTTATTTTTGAGAGAGTTTTAGTATAGGGTGCATGTACTTGCTGGAGAGACAAAGAGACAGAAAGCAAGAAATCACTTGCTTTGGGGCTGGCGGGAAGAGATGGCTATGTCACAATCCTTTCTCCTCCTCTTGGGATTTTGGGCACATACTCAAACACACACACCCCTGGCATGAGTTTCAAGCCTCCAGGTCCAGAACTCAAACCACAGTCAACCACATGGGAGTTCAGTGCCTTAATCATTACGCCACCTGCTGGTCCCTAAACTTTATACTGACAGAATTAAAAAACAGGTTCAGTTTTCTTTCTAACTTCTTGCATTCCATTTTGTGTTGTGAGATTCCAAGCACTTATATTTTCTGTTAAATCCTATACAAAAACATAATTAAGTTAGAAAAATAAAGATATTACTATAAAATCTTACTCATCACTTGGTCTGTTAAACTATTTCACATAATTCCTACTAATAAACTTTCTATTTCAATAAATGAATATTTCTGCTTTCTAATAATATTCTTAATTTATGAAATTATTATAACTGTAAAATAGTGATATTTCATTTTAAATATATGAAAGTGTTGTATTTAACAGATCTTTTCTGAAGCAAAGAATCATTTAATGCCAAACCAGATGTAGAATTTTAAGTCATATTTATTTTAATTCAGAAATATGTATTTTTATCTTTTTTAATATTTGGAGCAAGTACTCGAAAATAATATAAACTATTTTTAAGTGGTACTTTTGCTATAGAGCCCATGTGATCAGTGAAGAAACAAAGAGAGACAGAGAGATGGAAAGCGAGAAATCACCCCGCCAGGGTGGATGGCCACAACGCAGTCCGTTCTTCTCCATTCTTCTCTTGGGATTTTGGGCAAACAGGCACACACACCCAGTGTGAGTTTTAAGCTGACAGGTCCAGAACTTGAACCACAGTCAACTATGTGGGGGTCCAGCAACATAACCATTATTCCATTTGTAGGTCCCAAAAATTATACATTTTTAAAAATATTATATTTATTACAGTTTTAGTAAAACATAAAACTTTACTATCACATGTAGATTGTGGAGTAATGATTCCCCTTTGATTACTGTATTTTTTAAAATAAGCATAATATGAACAGTCTTCAAAAATTCATGGGAAATGCATCTTATTAAAAATAACTCTGTATACATTTCTAATAATTTGCATAAAAATAAACACTTTTTTTCAATAATTATCTTTTTTATATTTTTTAATTTGGGAAAAGGTGCTCCTTCCTTTAGGACTCTGGGCACACATGCACACGGGCCTTGTGTTATTTCTCAAACCACCAGGTCCAGGAGTTGAATTGCTCAGTTGGTCCTCAGTATCCAGCCCCCTTAACTACTATGCCATGAGCTGACCCTTTCTATGAGTTTTTTTTTTCTTTTAGAGAGATTTTTGCTATAAGGCACATCCTCTTGCTGGAGAGACGGAGAGACAGAAAGTGAGAAATCATCTCCCAGAGGGAATGGCCACACTGCAATTCCTTTTCCTCCATTCTCTTTTTGAAATTTTGGGTGCAAATATGCCCAGTGTAAGTTTCAAGCATCTGGGTCCAGGACTTGAACCATGTTTGGCCATATGAGAGTCCAGTGACATAACCATTATGCCATCTGTTGGTCCCTTTACAATTTTTTTTAAAGGACTTTTATACTCTTTGGGATTTCAATGATCTCCTTTCAGAAAATATTCAGGTTGGATGCCTAGGTCATTAGAATCTTTTCACATCTCTCCTTCTCTCATGTATAGTTGAACACTAGTACATTAAATAGTGAATGATGAAAATTCTGCTGCGTGCCATACTTATGAACAATTTAGGAAATTTTCAAGTTTAATTCTGAATCTGCTTAATTTATAATAAATAAATGGCTTAGGACCTAAGCTTATCTATAAGCTGTGATTCTGATTGGTGTGAAGAAAGTATTACAATTATAAACAGGTAAAAACCAAATGTTCTTATAATAAAATCAATTAAGACATATTTAAATACATACTGAGTCACATCAAAAATATCTTTTTCAAAATTCAGAGCTCAATTTTCTTTTTCATTTTTTTTTTTTTTGGAGAGGTTTTTGCTATAGGGCACTTGCGTTTGCCAGAAAGACAGAGAGAGACAGAGAGACAGAAAACAAGAAATCACCCCCCA